TGTAAGTAGAAATAAGTTCACTGGCTTCAGTGGAACTGAGCATGCTTAATGCTTATATTAGAGCTAAATTTGACCTGGTATTTTTAAAAGCAAAGTGTAAAGGACTTGATGTAGATAGACAACACAATCACATATCACACTATACCTTTAAAATCAACTAGAACACGTGAACAAAAACAGCAGCTGACTTAGCAGACAGGCAGAAATATGCAACTATATTTGTCAGTATATAATCAAATCCCAAACGATTCTTGCAATAGCAGTGGCTAAATAGGAATTTTAAGTTCCAACCATCTTTGACCTCAACAAAGGGAAAGCTTCGTCATCCCTGCCCCACACCTGCTCAGAGATTGACAGTATTAGCTGCTACAATAATGTATTTTCTTTTAAATGGAATTTTAGTAACAACAGAGAAAAAGCCATTGAAACATATATTAAAGCTATGGTTTTGGGAAACTGAGTATCAAGTCTATAGGGAGAAAATAAAAAAAATGAAAACTTGTTATGTATATCTTTTTTATAAACATACAAATTATTTATATAATACAAATTGTTAATACTGTAATATTTCTGAAATTATGTATGTATTCGCTGACTTGAAAACATCCTACTACCTTAATTTAACTAAAATAGCACCAAATAAACTAGTGATTATGTATTTTGTACATTTTTAACTTCAACTTTGGAGCTCACACTCAAACTACTTGATGGCTTTCCTGAAAATTATGAACTCTCACTTTTTTTAGAAAGAAAAAAAAAAGGCATAGCACCTTTCAAGGCAGGCTTTTTTGGAGTGTTTATGCTAAAAAATTAAAAGCAGCACAGCTACAGGAAACAGTGATAGCAAAAGCTATCTAAAGTGTGCATATGTGAATGCTCAACAGACAGCATATTTTAATTATATACTGGCAACATTCTGGAAAGCAAAAATGATAGCCAGAGATACAAGCACTTTGTTAGGAGAGTTAGTAGCAGGAAAAATTGCAGCTATATTCTGATGACAAGCAAATGATACATCAGTATCAGTGAGATGTTGAGCTAAGTCAGCTATCACCACCACCACCACCCCAAAAAATTCAATATTTGCTTCAGGATTTCATTTTGTTTATTGAATACTCCACAGATTCTTTTGTGAATGAAATTTTTATTTACACACTGTATCTAGAAGCAGATACATAAATCCTTATACAATTATTTTTCAAAAATGTGCAAGAAATTACTATAATTTTGTTTACAAACCAAAACACATTAAAATCAATGGACTTTGGATAATTCATTCTGTGGTGTGCTTAGTACAAATAACGCACACCTAGCTTGAAACATACAGAAAAATGTAAACTACAGCAATCTGGATTGCAAGTATTAATTTCATGGCACTCCATCACCACTATAAAATTCTTTAACCCAACATGTATTAATACAAAATTCTGTAAGAATTTTTTTTCATTATCTGTGTGTAGGGTTTAGAACACTTTCCAGATACAGCAAACTCCATAATATTTTGTGATGTTATGAGCTATTAACTATCCCATGTCTATTAATAAAGAATGGTTTTTAATATTTATCTTTGTAGAATTTTAAAAAGTATTAAAAGAAATAAGATTGGCAATCATTTAGCTTAGAATTTAAAAGTTATGTAACTGAGAACCATTCCTTACTGGAATCACAGGCAATATATTGCTGGTATTATGATTTAATTTACATATCCATAATTCACTCATTATGAAATGCAGAAAAGAAAAACGGATCATATTTTGATTAGCCCAGCAGTCAATGTTCATATAAAAGCACCTCTTAGATGATCAGAATATGAAATGTATATATTTGAAAATAAAATTTCTAATTAATAATAGCATTTCTAAGGCTACTAATGGTGGAAGCCATCTTGATAAAAAAGATAGTATTGATTTATGTCATCAGCAGCATAAGGGACCTGCAACCTGACCAAAGAATTTAAATAAACTTCAATTTTGCTGTTCAATTAACTTCAATTAACACAGTTGTAAGAATCAGAAAAAAACTTTCTGACATAGTATCGAAATACAAGCTGTAGTTTTATTCTTCTAATTAGTTAACCAGCCAGTGTCACCAATAACTTCCATCATCATCTTGTAGCTTCAGAAATCAATTTTATTTCAAAGTTTCATCTTCAAATACATTTTCCAATAATTCAGTTGCAACTCTGACTGTTGTGCTGAATAAAATAAGCACTGTTTTACTTTAAAGGAACAGAATTAAGTTGTTTTTATTTTATTTTTATTTAATCTTTGTTTATCTTCTTTTAAAGGCCTGAAAATAACTTTTTTCAATCTACCATTTTTGTTTTCTTCCATTTGGCAAACACAGATTTTGTTCCTCTATTTGTTATGGAGCACAAACGAAGACCATCTTTCCTGACTACAGTTGTTGCCCTTTAATAATTTTCAGTTGCCTTGTAACTAAACAACATTACTGTGGCTGTCACAGTAATCGTTATAATAAGCAACTATAAGTCAATGTTGTCAAAACAGGGTTTCTTAATTTGTGCTCCTTCTATTAACTGGAAGACTGCTTCAGTATCAAAAAGAGAGAGATTCTGAATCCAGCAGCATTTAAAAAAATATGTCTTTACAGAATGGTGGATTTCAAAATATTTGAAATTTAGGACATTACAGCATCAGATTACAAAAAAATTGTAGGCAGGTCTTCTCTTAGGTCTAAATTACTTGTCAGGATCCTTTTAATCAAACCTATGGAAAGCTCATCAAAAAGATACAATTAGAACTGGGCCTTTTATTAAGTTTACAATTAAAGTACACAGCAAGGAAGGCAATTCAAAATGGACTGGATGAATTTAACCAAAAGTAATATTTCAGAAGTGACCAACTCTGATAAGTGACCAAACAAATAAATGAAGACATGGAAAAGAAACTTAGCACACAAGTTCATATACATTTTCTTAATACAGCAATGAAATTGGGATATTAGAGTTTCACATGTTTAAGCCCTTATGCAAGGTCCATTAAATACTTATGCACAAAGCATATTTTAAATGCATCTTTAAGTTTGTTAAACACTGGGATATATTTCACTAATTTTATATCATTGCCTAATGTACTACACCATTCTAGAGACTTTGTACAATGTACAGTCCCTCTGGATTGTGTGGGGGAAGAACTTTTAAAGTGAAAAAAATGTGAGAGGTTTCATTCCTAACAAGTATGTTTCATATTCCATAAAAATGATTTCCTCTGTCCTCCCCTCAGATAGAATCAGACCACTGTACCATGCTATAAGATTATTGTGCCTTTTTAAATAAAGTTTGTAGCCCTGATTCAAAGAAGAAGAAAAAACCTCCAGAAGAGAGAAATCTGGATTCAAGCTTGCATAAATATATATGAACGGCAGAAACAACAAATTAAACATATATACTTTGCTGAGAATATTTTTTTAAGTTTAAAAATATTATTGGACAAAAGAAGAAATCATCATCCTCTATCCCTCAGAACAGACAGGCTTTATCTGCCTTTGATTTTTTTATTTTTTTTAAATACTGTGGTCCAAAAAATAAATTAAAAAAAATATATAAATTTAGCATATCAATTCAGGCAACACAAGATGTAGTGCTACTGTAGCACTTTGCAGCAATAGTGTATCCAATGCTACAAACTCATTTCAGGGGGCAAAAAAGCTAGATATAATAAGCAGAAGAAAATTATCCAAAAAGGATTTATCCCAGCCTTTTTCTATGTTGGTCTTTACTAAATAGCAACTTCTACCAACTGCTGATGGAGAAGGTGACATGCTAAAAAATATAACGTTGATTTAAAAACAAAACAAAAAAACAAATTTAGTCCTGGTCACCTTTAAAATTGAAAGCACAAACGTAATATAGCTATAAAGTGAAAAACCAATATGATGAATATTGCACAAGGAAAACTTTGCAATCTAGGGCCCAGTCTCCCAATTCAGAAATCTCTTTTAGAAGATCAGGCTCCCCACAGACTTTTTAAATGCCACTATCCTTGTCAGATGTTAGAAATATTTACTAAATTGATATGATACCTTTATGTCAAAACAGACAATTTTCATGACAGCGCCTGAGACTGTTAATAACAAAGCCCTTTTCTGTGGCCACTGTATTAAACCAAAACCCCTTCTCTTACTAATTTCAAATATACAAAGGTTAAAAAAAATGCAGCCTTAGGGATAATTTCTGTAAGCCCTCCCCTACTCCCCAAAAAATCCCAGAATCAAATACTAAATATCAAAATGCAAGAGGGAAAAGGGGGGGGGGGACCCAAAAACCAACTGTAGTGTAGAAATTGGTTTTCAGAAGTCTTGTCACATTACCACTTTAATAGATAGTTCCTACAATTAGGGAGATTTGTAGATTTTTTTTTTTCAACAATATCATTAGTAATCCATGTATCAGAGGAGTAGCCGTGTTAGTCAGAATCTGTAAAAAGCAACAGAGGGTCCTGTGGCACCTTTAAGACTAACAGAAGTATTGGGAGCATGAGCTTTCGTGGGTAAGAACCTCACTTCTTCAGATGCAAGACTGCATCTGAAGAAGTGAGGTTCTTACCCACGAAAGCTCATGCTCCCA